GGAATGAGTTTATCGATCGTTACCACGGCAATACGAGGTTGATCACATCGTCCAGCTGCTTACAGAGTTCTGGTTTTCTTCTCCGTATTGCAGGGCCCCCGCAAACCGTAGGAGACGCCCGGTCGTCGCTCGAAGTACGACTTTAAATGCAGTTGTTTGGTCGACTGTGTGGCCAGTGTCCACTAAGCGCTTAGTGATTGAACTCTTGGTTACTTTATGTTCCGCCCTGAGCAACCACTTCGGCATATATTCAGCTTATCGCGTTGCCAACTGCCTTTGCGTGCGCCCGATGCATTTGCATCCACAGTCTGATGTCGCGTGCATAGGCAGAATGTCTTTAGTCGGTCGAAGTGGAATAGCCGTTTTTATGCTTATGTACAACAATTTAGCGGTGGGGTAAGTTCTTTCAGTTGTGCATCGAAGACTTCGTTTTATAACATTGGAGACACTATCACCCTTAGAGAAAAATGCTTACCGGCTTTTTTGGCACTGATATTTCAGGAGTAATTTCTTGTGTGCGGTTTCGATACTTATCAATGAATTTCTCAGGATAGCCAGTTCCAAGAAACAGTTTCTCGAGAAACTCATCTCTTCCTCGATCGTATCCAAAGAGCAGATTCTAGCGGCTCTATTTAAAAGGCAAAGAACTAAGCTTCGTTTCATCTGAATTGGACAATGCACGCACTTTCTTCGTTTCCTTCCAATTCAGAGGAAACGAAACTTGGCAAGGACCGTCTGCAGTTGAAAAAGAGGTCAAGAAATTTTATGACGTCAATAAATTCTGCTAATCTCGTGAACTTTGTGTCGTTCATATTTGAAACCGTCTGCTTCCTCAAGTTGACAGCCATTAATCTCAACAGGTGGCTTCTCTTGGGCAGTAATGCAGCATGAAAATATTTTGGTCTTCGTAGCATTTATGAACAAACCAACCGATTTAGCGATCTCGTCCACCCTTGACACCAAAGACTGTAGGTCACCAAAGCTTGAAGCTAGTAAAGCGATATCGTCGGCATAGTCATGATGAACTTTCGTCGAGAAGCAAGTGCAATACTAACTTCCCTGAAATCCAATCAATGGCGTAGTTAAATAGAATGAGCAACAGCACACAGCCTTGTCGAACGCCAGACCGAATAGCGAACGGTTCTGAAAGGTTGTTATGGATCAGAATTCGCACCGTGGTGGAGCGGTAGTAGGCCCTGATCATGGCCATGATTTTTAGTTGTACACCATCTACGGCCATTATCCGCCATAGGGATTCACGATGGACGCAATCGAACGCAGCGGCAAAGCCAACAAAACAGACGGCAGTTGGTTGGGCAACAGTAGCTTATGCAGTCCCCCTCATTAATCCCTACTCTCAGCAGGCCGTCCTACGAAAATAATGGTTATTGTTGGGGAATTAGGACACGCAGTGGAATATACTTTAATAAGTGATGTATGCATTTTAATTTTATTGTAGTTAGAAGTGTTGTTAATTTATATCTGTAGATTTTCCTAATCCGTATTATCGATAATCAAATTACAAGTTTCTTGAAATTCCCGAAAATTAGAAATGGTAGTTAGGAGGTCGTCTACTTCAACTTACATGGGGTCCAACTTACCGTTCTGGAGGTAGATTAGTATAGCCCGCGGCGCGAAGCGCCGCGCACACCTTTAATTTACATGCGGAACAACCTACTCGCAGCGGCCGTGGGAAACAACTTCGATTACATTTTCCCTTTACACTTACTTTTAAGCATTTCCTTCTCTGCCTGTTCTATTTCCCCACCCCCCAAGACCCTATAACCATCGTTTTCGTAGGACAAAATGCTGGGACTAGGGGTATATGAGGGGGACTACATAAGCTAATTTTGCCATTGGTTGGAATACACACATATTCGTAGCCACCAAATCAGACTATCTGGACGTGGAAACCCCTGGATAGAAGGAAAACAAGTTATAATATAAACTTCCTCCACTTGCTTGTATTTAACCCCGAATACCTCCGGCTCCCTCAAAGGCATCATAAGGCAGATGCCGATAGATATTTTACCATCACTTTTAGGAGCACCAGTAACAAACAGCTGCTGGGAGGTCAAACGAAATAAATAACGTTGAGCACCTCCGGCAGTAGGTGGTGTAACTCACAAGACGACCGAATTTCAGGCCAGCTGTAGGAGGCATGGCACTCACACGAGGGTTCTATTAACAGGCCTATCGATCGTTTGGATGCTTATCTGGCGTTG